TGGCCTATAACTCTTGAAGTACTGCATTGCTACAGCGTTGTTGAAGTAAATTTGGAATTGGCTTTGTGTCCTGCTAGGATGCCCTAACCATTTGTCTGCCGACCCCATCGCTAGGAAATATCAAAGAATTCCGTTACTGCAATATATAGACATGATTTTAGCAAGTGGCAAACACTGCCCATTAGTTGAGATGATAACCTACAGTTATTGCCCTTTTTGTTAGCTGAGCAAAGCAAAGGGTTTTTGATGCTACTTTTAAACTAGTTCGACTCTTGTTTTAGACATGTAAATTTGTGTTGTGTGTGTTCTTTTTTAAATCTGTAGTTATTGACATGATTGCTCTAAAGCTGTACTTGGTTCAGAATTACCCTTGAGCAGATTATTACATAGCAATTGGCCCAATATTGCTTTCAAATTCTAATTGACATTTCCATATAATTGGTGCATTAAGTATGTTGTTGACATAAATAGAATCTTTACTTACCATCTAACTAGAACTAGAAAAAAAGTCTTTTTAACCTTGCGGAATGTTGATTTGATCCAGAAAGTATGCTATTTTCTTACATTGGCTAGGGATCAACATGAAAGTTCCATGTGGAGTAGGGATCAAAGAGACAAAACTAGATAGTTAAAACTTTATAGCAAATATCCCAATTTTTTCTTTGCCATCCTGGAGATATATGTCTGTGCATAACTACAAAGCCGAAAAGAATATTTATTTCAACTCACAACCACCATTAATTGTTCATGGATTAGAACACTTTATATTGTAAATGAGATAAAACTCTTAAATTGATCAATTGAATGCTATGCTTTTCAAAAAACCCAATTTTTTTTGGACAGAAATTGATGTCCTGATTCTAAAATTCATGCAGGAATGTAAGGGACCCAGAGTAGCCAAAACAAACTTGAGAAAGAACAAATTTGGAGAAAAACTTTCTGGTTTCAAAACTTAGTACACAACTGCAGTCATCAAGACTGTGTAGTACTGGCATGAGGCTCACATATAGATCAGTGAAACAGATTTGTGATTCCAGGAATAAAAGCTTACATTTCTGGTCAGTTGAATTTTGATAAGGGTGTCAAGACAACTCAGTTGGGAAAAAATAGCCTTCTTAACAAACGATGCTGGCACAAACAGATATTCATATGCCAGTTATGAAGTTGGACATCTACCCATACCATATATAAGTTAACTCAAAGTAGTAATTAACCCAAAAGTAACAGCTAATACTATAAAACTCTTAAAAGAAAATAAAGGAGTAAATCTCTGTGACCTTGTATTAGGCAATATTTCTTAGATACAACATCAAAAACATAAGCAACAACAAAAAAAGATACGTTGAATTTCATCAAAATTTAAAACTTTTGGGTGTTTCAAAGGGTACATCAAGAAAGTGAAAAATATGAAACAGAGTGAAAGTGACCAGAGGGGAGGGGCAAGGGAAATCATGGTGGAAAGAAGGGGAAGTGACTATACAAAGTGACTTGCATGAATGACCCATGGACATGGACAACAGAGTGGGGATTGTCTGTGGGAGTGGAGGGCAAGATGGGCAGAGGAGGGCGAAGGGGGAAAAATTGGGATAACTGTAATAGAATAACGATAAATAATGATTTAATTAAAAAAGAAAGTGAAAAGACTGCCCACAGAATGGGAGAAATATTTACAAATTATATATAGGAGAAGGAATTCATATAACAAATTAAACTCTTAAAACACAATAATACACATTCATGTAATTAGACATGTCTCTAAAGGAGATATACAAATGTTTAATAATCAAATGAAAGAATGCTGAACATCATTAGTCATTATGAAAATGCAAATCACTCCATATCCAAAAGGATAGGGAAAAAATTTTTTTTAAAAGGTAAGTCCTGGCAAGGATATAGATATATATATCTATATCTATATATAGATATAGATATATAGAGAGAAATTTGAATCTTCATACTTGCTTATGGGAATGTAAAATTGTGCATACCCTTTGGAAATAGTATAGCATTTCCTAAAAATATTAAACCTAGAATTACCATATGGCACAACAGTTTTACTCTTAGGTATGTACCCAAGAGAACTGAAAACAAATGCCTACACTAGACATCTTTCTGTTAACAATATTTCATAATTGAATATTACTTCAAATGTCCATAGCAACATTATTCATAATCAGTAAAAGTGCAAACAAATGTCATCAAGTTGAAAGGGTCAAACAAAATGTGGTATATGAGGCCTGTCCAGAAAAAATCCAGGCATTGTTAATATAATGAGAAAGGTTTGCGTGACAGTGATGTAACCTGGTAGCCAATGAGAGTGGACTGGATTGAGCATGTGTGAACGACGACTTCACTGTACTAGTCAATAGGGGAAGTATATGCTGTCGGGTGAGCATGTGTACTGTGTGGCTGTTGCATTCAAAGTGACTGAGCAAGTAAAACAACAAATCTGCATCAAATTTTACATTGAGCTTGAACATTCCTCCATGGAAACTATTTGGATGATTCTGGAGGCCACAGCTATGGGAAACTGGTGATTGGCACCTTCGTCATGACAACATGCCCATTCATGCATCACTTCTCATACAGAGTTTTTTTGTGAAACATCAAATCACCCAGGTGACTCAGACCTCCTACAGCCCAGATTTGGTGGCCAGCAACTTCTGGCTTTTCCCAAAACTAAAATCACCTTTGAAGGGAAAGAGACTTTAGACCATCAATGAGATTCAGGAAAATACCATGGGGCAGCTGGTGGCTATAGGGAGAACTGTATGAGGTCCCAAGGTGCCTGCTTTGAAGGGGACTGAAGTGTCATTGTCCTGTGTACAGTGTGTCTTGTATCTTGTATCTTCTTCAATAAATGTCCCTATTTTACATAGTGCATGGCTCGATACTTCCTGACAGACCTCATAGCTACACCATGAAATATCATTTGACTATAAAACTGAAGGAAATACTGACGCATACTGCAACATGGATGAGACTTGAGAACATTATACAATACTATGAGAAAGAAGCCATATATCTTACGATTCTGTTTATGTGAAATGTTCATAGTGGAGAATCCTCAGAGACAGAAAGCAGATTGATTGCTAGGGGCTGTAGGGGGCCAGGGAGCATGGGGAGTGAAGGCTAATAGATGTGGGGTTTCTTTCGGCGACTTCAAAATTGTTCTAAAATTAGTGGAGACAGTTGCAAACCTGTGAAAAAGCTAAAAATGACTGCATTGTACTTTTTAAAAGTAAAAGTTTAATGTTATGTGGATTATATCTTAATAAAGCTTTTATAAGGAAAAAAAAGAGAGAGAAGGTCTTCAAGCCCCAGTCAAGCCGTGGGGGGATTGCAGCCGAGGCCCTGCTGACATCTGACTACCCCCTCGTGAGAGATTCCTCCCCAGACCGCCAGACAGGCTGCTTCTCAATCTCTGACACTCAGAAAATGAGCAATAATGTTTATTTTTTTTAATCCATTAAATTTTAGGGTAATTTATTAAACAGCAATGAAAACTAAGTCACTCGCACTTGGATCATTTGTCCAGTAACACTCCTTAAATGACTACTGTGCTATGTGCTTCACACACAGGGGACCGGACGAATGCATGCCCTTCATGGAGCACCCTCCTGTGTGAAAGAGGCAGCTAAGGAAGTTAATGATTTTGACATCAAATGTTCTGACATGTGTGATAGTCACAAATGCAATATTTTGTTAAATTGTCTTCCTAAGTATTTTTGTCACCTGTCCTTTGAAAACATATATCTAGCCCTTGATAAAAATACAAATATTCAAAAGCTTTCAAAGACAGTCATCTTTCAAGGCTTGGTGCCTTTCTTTATCTCTATGGAGAGGATAAAAATATATTTTTAAAAAATCTCTGTAGACCAAGTCCTTCACAAAACTACCAATCCCTATGTGAAATGCTGCTTCTCAGTCTACAAGTGCAATACATTTGTATTTTTGCCCCATTCACTATGACAAACTGCTTAAGTTGTGGCTCTGCGTCTTCTTATTTTCAAAGTGTTAACCTAACTCTGTTATGGTGAACTCTTAACTCATATATTGTCTTTTTTTGTTGAAATGGTACATTTAGATCCATGAGTGTTGTGTTTACAGGTGCTGATTGTGAATAATGGGTCATTCTCCATGTGGTTTGTTGTTTCATTGAAACCGACATCCAGGACTGACACCATCTATTTCTGACTCTGCTTCTGAAGAGTAGTGTATCTGCAGAATTACTTTAATGAAGTCCAGTTCCAAAGCCTAATGGAGCACTAATGTCTTACATAAATGGAAACCTATGCCAGGTGTACTTTCTAGAGCCTAGTCTCTCCTCCATATGACATCCAACTCCATGTCCCCGCTGTCCTGGAATAAAGGGCCTCTCTGACACTCTTAGCTCTTTGTAGTGGAACAGTGTTCACCATTTCAGAAATAAAATCGTTAATTTTGCTTTGTCTGTGATAAAGATCATCCTCAGGCTCAAAGGCTCATAACAAACGAAGGACTCCAGATTTCTTTTTGTGCAATATTCCTATTACACTTTTGACAGGAGTGACCTTGACAGGCAACATTTTTTTCCCATGAATTTTGCTTTCTTCATATTTTAGTGTCACTGGGGGGAGGGGAGTACAAGCTAGTGCAGTACTTTAAAGCCAATATGTCAATGTGACCTTCCCTTTGGTACCCCTTTACTTTGCTGATTGAAAACATTCAGTCCCAAAAGCTGCTGGTTGGGTTGCAGGTAGCTAAATGATGTATTCCAAAGCTCTTAACATATTGCCTTGTGTAAATGGCCCATTTGAGTATTTCAAAACCCAAATGGGAGAGAAAACAGAATTGAAAGCACTGAAAAATTAGCACCTGTTTCCAGTCTTCTGAGAAATTGGAGCATACTGTGTATATCCAGAGTAAAAGCATTTACTCCCTCATGTTGAGACATTTCATTCAAATTTTCAATTCTACATGCATAGCATCCACATGCTTATGGGTTTGTCTCTCTACAGGATTCCACACAAAACTTAGAAGATGTGGAAGTTATGAATGGTGTACAGGCAGAACTACTGACATCACCGAAAACTAAGGATGCACTGAGGTATTTTTTTCATGTGAATGGAATATTTCCCTTCAATTCAATGTTTGTTTCTTTCATAGTTTATAGTTGGTTTATTTTATATGGAAGATCAAGATAATTAGAATAGTGGAGTGAAGCCTGTCCCAATTCTAAAATTAATTAACTTAATTACTCTTTTCTCTCATTCTCTATATGATATAAGAACCTCGTGACAAGCATATATACAAATGAGCCTCAATTCTTGCAACAATTCTGCAACCTGAATTTCTTAATTGCTTTTCTTTTCTCTTTGAACGATAGTTTAAAGTGCATTTTGGTTGAGTGTTTTACTTTGACGTTATCTCTTTGAATATTGCTTTGCATTGCCTTTTAACAGTTTTGCAATATTTTATTTGATGTAGATAAAATAAGTCCAGCCTATCAACCAAGATTTTTCATGTTTTTAATGTAAGTAACTTATTATACAAAGCCAGTTGCTCTCATCTGGACCAGTACTTCTATTCTCTGCACTAATTTTCTGTTCTGCCCTAGCTGCTTCCTGGGTTCAATTCCCAGCCCAGCTGCTAACTGGTTCTAATCAGTTAGGCAATTTACTTGTCTCTCTTTGCCTTGATTTCTGTTCTGTAAAACAGAAATAATATTAAATCCTTTACAGGATTAGTATGAAGATTAAATGAGTTAATACATGTAAAGTACTCTGAATAGTGCTTGGGTCAGAATAAGCCCTGTGAGCATTTGCTAGTACTACATTATTATTATCATTATCTATATTATTATCATCGTCATTCTAAGTTGCTTTAAATTTTGCACAGTGAAAGTGATTCCATGTTTAATAGGTTGTTGGTTTCATCACTAGAAGATGATACTTTTGACGATCATTCACTCATTCATTTAATCAACATATTCCTTTCATTCAGTCCAGTTACTAATAGGTGGCAAACATTTTACATGGTATTAGCTTTAATATATCTGATCATCCTTTATCACACTGCTTTACTGTGTGGATTTTTCTCAAGCTTATAATTTATAGCCATATGACATAGTCCTTATGTAAATTGTTTATTTGATTAATGAGATGCACAACAATACAAATTTGGTACAGGAAATCTCCAGGGATCTATCTTTAGAAACTAGATAAGATAGTTTCTGGATGGCCCTGGCCAGGTAGCTCAGATGGTTAGAGCGTCGTGCAGCTCTGCCAAGGTTGCGGGTTCAGCCTCCAGTCAGGTCGGTGTTTCTCTCTCTCCTTTTCTTTCTCACTCTAAAAATTGATTTAAAAAAGAAAAAGATTGGTTTTTGGGGGTGTAGGCATAATGAATAAGAATTCTCTTATTCTATTTGACTTTAATTTTACTTTTTTTAATGTTAACTTTTTAAAGTTTGTTAACATCTTGGCTAAATGTTATATAGATAGATGTCATAGAATGAACAATCGTTCAGTTTATGGCTGCATAGTCAAAGCATAGTCAAACTAGCTAAGTTTTTGGTAGTTACAAGAAATTAAAAGAAATAAAGTACAGAAGTTTTTAAAAATAATATGTTTCATTAAAATATATGTATAATTTGATTATCAAAACAGCCTTTCACATGAGTTTAATCATCACTTTTAGTAGGCTAAGGAACTGCAAAGTTTAGAGCAGTTAGATAACTGCTAGAGACCCAGTCTGCATCCATCACTTTTGTCCTCAAATCTTTTGACTCCAGTGTTACCTGTTTTATGCCCTTTTCTGGTGTTTTATTTAATGCTACGTAACCGGATCTAGGGAACTTCATGCGGTCAGCACCAGTATGGAGAAAATGAGCTGAAATCAGTTTGGGGCAAAGTTCAGAAAGCAGAGTGAGTGCGAAGTCCTAGCACTTGGAGACTCTTGGGTGAGAAGAATCTTAACGGCGTGGAATGAACAGCTAGTAGGGGAGGACTTCGAGATTACATATCTGGAAGAGGACATTTGCTCTAGCTGGTATGGGATGATAAAGAAACAATTGAAGAGAAATTATAAAGCCATTTGCAGCTGAATTACCTGGTCAGCATTCTCCTAGGGCAAAGAGAGTCTGATATTCCACAGAGGTTGACTTTGGGCTTCCTTCCCTGCGGGTGGCATAGGGCCTGGGAAAGTTGTTGCAGAATTTATCTCTAAATATCTTGAGCTCATTCTTGTGTTTTAAGTCCCATAGTCGTTATTCAAGCCTTTCTTACCTCTCAGCTAGATTATTGTAATAACCTAGTAACTCTTCTCTTCAGTATCAGTCTCTCCTTATTCTAATTCATCCCATAATTCACTATTGGATAAAATGCAAGCTATTATCTGAGAAGCAATGCTAATTGTATTCTGGGCATTATAGTATGTACTCATGTCAAACATATAAATACTGCATCACTTCCATTTTACAGATAAACTAATGCATTCACTAAACAACAGAACTTATCAAACCATTCTTTAGTGCCCAAACCTTTGGATTTAGTTAAGTTCTGAGTTTGAACACTACCTATATAGCTATGGTCTAAACCTCTTAAAAATAGTTTTATATGAAAAATAAGTATCATGATCACATAGATTATTGTGAAGATTTAATGAGATACATTACTGGTAATTACTCGTAATATAATGCTAAATGAAAGGCCAGATAACCATTAATTGCTATTGTGATTATCATTATCAGACATACTACAGTTTATTTTAACTATCTGTCATTCTTTCAAACGAGACTTACAGACCTGCCAAGGGATTCCTTACACCTTATACAAGCCTTGGAATATAATAGCATCATATTTGTTGACTGGATGACTGACTAGATAAAATACATTGCTCCATAAATCATAAACATAACTTAACTGATTATCCATTATTAACACAAACATCTGTATTTAAGGGAAACTAACATTTGGGGGGTAGTCTCAAAATAGTCTTAAAATCCCTACTAGAGCATTACTCAATTTATTTTGATCTTAAGAAGACATTGAAGCAAGAGCTTTCCAGGGGTTAGTTTTTCTTATATATAAATTTATACTTTAGCTTCTCTTTTAAATAGCAAGTGATGGGTGTCAGAGACCTTCCCCTCATCCCTAATTTCTCTCTCATTCCTGATTTACCTTATTCTTGACACTTCCTCAAATCTGCCTCCTCCATACTTGCCTTTTTCCAGGCTTAAAACTGCCCTCACATTCTATCCCATCCATTCCTTTGCCTCTGATATCCATTCATTTGGCAAATTTTTGGCAGAGTCCATCTCAAAGTATCTCGAACTTTTCCCCATCTTTTCATGATGCATTCCTATGATCATTGCTCTAAACTTATTGCCTGTCAGAAGGATCATTGCAGTAATTTACTAATTCCTGTCTCCAGTACCAATCCCTCCCTTGCCTTTCTGTTTTCTAATTGATCACACCTATCACTGCCAGGTATATATTTCTAAACTACAGCATTTATCACACTGCTTCATAGTTCTAAAGCCTTTACTGACTCAATCTCTACAATATTAAGTGTTAATTTTTCAGCTTAGAATTTGACATACCATTCTGAGATTTGATCTCAAACTAATGGTTCAACCTTATCTTCTACCCAACACAATGAGTTAATCCATCTCTCCTCCTCTCCACCTTCTCTCCTTCTCTTTCCATCACTCTCTCCATCTTCCCCTCCTTTCCTCCCTCCCTGACCCCACTCATGTGCCCACACTGTCCTGGTTCAGTGTCCATGCAGACTGCTCCCCTTTGCACCTGCGCTCTCTGCCGCCAGGCTTACCACTTCTGGTTGAAGACCCATTTGCCCTGCTCAGTTCCATCTCACGTGCAACCTCCTTCAGAAGGTTTTCCTGATTCCAGCTTCCCTTTCTGATCTTGCACCCTATTCCTCTGACCCTCATCAGAAGGTGGCTCTGCTTTGAAATACATGTCTAAGTGGTTTAAAACAACTGCTCTGGAATGCAATAAATTCCAATTTGAATACTGACTCGACCGCATATAAATGGTATGATGTTGGACAAACTTTTAACTCCTCCAGGCCTCAGTTTAGTTATCTATTAAATGGAATTGATGTAAGTGCTTGCATACATTTGATATGAGTACATGGTATAATACCCAGAATACAGTTAGTACACGGCCTCCCAAATAATACCTTCCTTTCACTGAGAATGTGCTACTATAACTATTACTTCTGTTTTATTGCTTTGTATTATTTTTTATTACCTGTCTTTACCTGCCTCCTAGAGTATGAACTCCTTAGGCCCCCACTTTTTTTTTTCCCTTGTAGAACTTCCCAATTGGAACCACTCAATTAACATATGTTGAATTCAACTGAATTAAGTAAATCCCATCATCATCAACAACAAATTCTTTGTTGTATTTTTACTTAGTATATTCACAGTTTACAATCAGGTTGACTTCAGTGCCATGTACAAACTCTTCTTGGATATTTAACTCAACATCGCTCACACCATTGTATATGGCAGCTCTGTGCATCAGTCCCTAAAGAACACCGACTGCTGCCTTCTCTCCATTAGTTACATCCCTTTGTCTTCTCTCCCAGTGTCAGCATTCTATTCGTGAAGGAATGTTCCTCAGCCCTACAGTAGTTAAAGATTTTTTAAAAGTCTTGCTGAGGAAATCAATTGAGAAAAATTGTAAAGCTCAAAATAGGTTATTCCCTTTTAATCCATGAGCTCATTTGTTCTTTTAGAAAGTTCTGATAATCATACTAATAGCTGATAGTCCTTGAACCCCTTCTACACACCAGATACTGATGTCCAATGTATACTTGTTAGCTTCTCTGTTTTTTTTTCTTTAAAACCAACAATTCTATTAGGGATTTATCTTAATTTTCTCATTGTACAAGTAAGGAAACAAATGCTTTTCTTCTTAGTTGAAATGATTTACTCAGACACCTGACTCAAAGTCACTGCTAGGATATACTTCCTGTCTAATTTCATAAGTGAATCATGATTTCCTTCTGAAACAAAGGGTCTACTCCACCCTCCCCTCAGTCCTGTCTCTTCCCTACCCCAAATGAGTTAAGTAATTGTAATGTTAAAAACGCTGTCCCTTTGCCTTGTGTCAAGAAATTAGACCTACAAACATACTCAGCTCCCATTGTACAATGTTCTCTCCCTCAAGCTTCGCATCTCTCCAACCAATTGCAATGCCTCCCATGTAGATTTTGCAGAGCAGCCATTCACAATAGGCTCACTTTTAACCACCAATTGTGTACCATCATTCATCACCTTGTCCTAAAGTCTTAGATAGGTAGATAGGTGGCAACTGGTTCCAGTGATTATTGAATCACTTTTACATTTGGATCTTAGAAGATTTTAAGCTTCCTTAATACTAACGGTCTTAATGCTCTGTGTCTATCTGCTTTTGTTTTAGTATGTCATAGGAAGTTATGCAAAGTTAGCTATTTTGACTGTAATGAAATCTTTCAACTTTTTTTTTTCAAAGTACTTTATTTATTTTAGAGAGAGGAGAAGGGAGGGAGAGAGGGAAAGAAACATCAATATGTGGTTGCCTCTCACACACCCCCTGCTGGGGAACTGGCCCACAACCCAGGCATGTGCCCTGATTGCGAACTGAACAAATGATCCTTTTGTTCACATGCCGGCACTCAACCCACTGAGCTACACCATCCAGGGCTCAACTTTTCTTTCTATAACTGAAATATTTTCCTTTACTCCACAGTTCACTTTTTGTCTGGTTTTCACAAGTAGTAGCCAATCCTGTTCTCTTCCTACTGCTAAAATATGCTTTTCACTTCATTTTCTGTTCTCAGCTTCCCCCCACATACATTAATAAATGTGTGTATTCCTGCTCACTGGTCCCTGAATTCTGTTCTGTAATTTACCTAAACAAATAGCATTAATAGCATATTTTCACTCTATAAGATATTGTGTTTAGCCCTATTTGCTGTGTTTGTCTTCTATAAATGGTGTATAGAGAGAGATGTCTACTAAACTCTATTAAGAGTATATAACACTGAGTGGTTATTTTTCCCTTTTAAAATAAATAAAATTTTATAAACTGGTTTCTGAGGCCTCCTCTTTTAAAATGCTTTTCTTTTTATCTTGAAACAAATAACAGAAAATAATTTATAAAGAGCATGGTGAAACATGGTCTGTATAAAACTTACAATGTTCATCTATATTAAATAGATCTAATTCTCTATAAGTGTCTGCATATCACATCAACAAAATTAAAAGCCTTTTTTTGTTTCTTTTTTCTGGTATAATAGTATTTTCATGGTAGTAATTTAATGGCTGTCGAATATCCTTCAAGCCAAATATTGTGCTGTCATGTATAAAGATAGCATAAAAGTTTATTGGGAAATATTGTAAAAGGAAATCTTACAATGTTGAAATGAACCTTAAAAATTCATACCACAGAAAAGTTTTAGTATTTGAAACAAGATCGATAACTTTAACAGATTAGAAGAGTTACTTTATTAAGTGAATGTAAAAATACAGGATTGATAATTACTAAAGAGTAGATATCAGGATGACACAGAGATGTTTACACAAGGCATTTTAAGTAGGATAGAGAAATATTTGCAAAATAGAAAAAATGAGAATATGTAAAGCCATTCTAAAACTTGTTAAGCTGAAATCTTGAAGTCTATGATAGACTAAACATATTCCAAATGCTTTTATATGATACATACAAGTCTATCTATCAACATGTGGATATGTAATACATTTATTAGGAAAGATAAGCATTATGCTCTAAGTACAAAACTATAAAAATACATCATAAAGGTAGAGATAATAAAGTTTCAATGGTTAAATAAGATTTTAGTCTCTGCTTTTAAAAGTCTTTAAAACAGTACTGTAACCCTAGAATGTGAATGTTTTGGGTTTAGTCTTCCTCAGATGCCTTCACATGCACTATGTATCTGTTATTATAAAAATGATTGCCTTGTAGTCCATTAAAGACTATGTAATATTCTCTTCCCACCAAAAATTTATATTCATGACTTACAATGCATACCTTTATATAGTATTTTAGATACATATATTCATATAATGTCTATATTCTCATCCTGAAAGTACAGAAGAGAATCTGTTTTATCCCATGATATTATCACTCTAAGATTTGTTTTGTTTCGAACTTTTATTCTAGGCATCTGATATAACCTGCTTGACTGAACAAGTTTTAAATTTATCAGCAATATCTGAGCACAACTCATTTGAAATTTATTATCACATTTGAAATTCCATCATATCCCACAAATGTTGAAAACTGACATGCTTTTCGTTTTGCAATTCTTAATGATAATAGGTTTGCAATGAAAACACATTAAAAATAAGCCTAATCCACTGATGAGAATATATTTAATGTATTTATTTTAGATTGCTGATGATTTAGAGAATACTTCATGCAGAGAGAGTTCATCAGGCATTTTGCTTTCCTAATGCTGTTCTCAACTTTCCAGCAAGGAGCCAAATTTCACCATTTTCAATTTGGAGCAGAAAAGCATTTGTAACAGCTGTAGCTCTTAATTTGACATCTAGTTTTCAGGTCATTTTCATGTAAATAGGAAACAATAGAGACCTGCTTACAATTTCCATAACTGGGATGTATGCTTCAACTTTTATCATTTTTCCTCTGGCAATTTTATTTTCTCTCTCTGGAATTAAAGGAGCCAATAATTGTTCACGGTTATTATTTTTCATGTTTATAAAAACATGTTAGTTCCACTTTTTATTACTCAAAAGCTCCCAATGTCTTGTACATTTCAGTCATACACACTATTCATTAATGTTTCTAGCTCATCCATTTCTTAATCTGGAGTAGGTTAGGTGGGTCAGGCTTTCTATTTCTTTCTGTAATACATTTTCTTCAGGCTTTGCAACTTCTTTTTCTACCACTAAAAAAATACAGGAGGTGAAAATTTGGAATTGTTCCATTGAATACAACTGATGCTTTATTGAAAGGCAACTTAAAATTTTGATTTACAATTCTTTGAACAAGCCCATGTATATTACCAATGTGGCTTCACATTTGTTCTAAAATATAGTTTCATGGTTTTTCTAATAAATACATTTTTCATTTTACCTCTGTTTTTTGGGGGAATCATACTTTATAATTAAGCATAGATGTGCTTAGTTGTATGTGTTGTATCATCTGTACAGTAATTTTCAAGTGTGTCTCAATGGGGAGAAATTTTATTTTGTGTACATCTTTTTAAATATGTTGATTTATGTAGATTAAGTAGGAAGTTATTTTTGTAGGTAGTCATTTCCATTTGTTCCTCTTCTAGGGGAAAAAATAAGAAATCAGATAGTCTTTCAAACATTTTATTTCTCGAATCTTGTAAATCATATATCCCTTTGATTTCATCTCTGCTGTTAAACTTATAGTAGTTGATATAATCCTAAATTTTTTTTTAATGTGCCTCATCTGTTTTTTTAAGCAGAGATTCATCTTTGCTCTTATTTTTTTCTGCCCCAGTGAGATGACAAGAACAGTGGAGATTTCCGGGGAAGGAGGCCCCTTGGGAATTCATGTAGTGCCCTTCTTTTCATCTCTGAGTGGAAGGTAAGATGTTTTTCTTATATCAGAAGCTCGTGCTATGAAAAACTTGACTAGCGCTCATTTTCCCATTTTTCAGAAGAGGATTAAGTGTGTGTCTTTGTTATTCAGATGGACACCTCAAGATAATACTTCTGTTGGCCACTTATGTGTTAGAAAGAAAATAAAATCAATTACTTCTAAGATGCAATAGAATAGGAAAAAATAAATCTCAGTTGCTGCATTTACAATTAATTATGAAGTACTTTCTTAAAGTATTCTTATCAGTAATATGTAGTAAACAGAATACTTAGAAAAGATTTTAACATATTGTTAGACTTATATAGCACCTGAATTTTTTAATATTGAGAAATGCACTTCAACAAGTGAATATAGTAATACCGAATTGATATTTCCTGACATTCCTCAGGTATATAGGCTTTAGAATAATAAATAGTGAAACATTATAAGTAGCTATATCGGAAGCTATATAGGTTTTGATGATTTTAATCATAGTAGTAAAATGCCACCATACTATTCTTTAAAAATAAAATATGATCAATTAAAAATAAGTTACCACATCCCTTAAAATTTTTATATTGCTAACTTCACACTGGCATGTGGTAATTTAGATTGTGTCAGCATTTCTTGAAACTAATGTCTACATAACTGAATACCAATGGAAATTAAGTGTGTACCTGAGAGATAATATTAATGTTAATTCTGTTCTAACAATCATATAAAACTAGTGTTAGGTATTAATGTCACTTTTCAACAAGATGACTGCCTTTAGCACTAAACTGATATTGACAAGGACTATCAGAAACATAAAAGAAAATCAGTATCTCATAGGACATGATTTTAATTAGTTTGCTAAATTTGTTGTTTTAAATTAAATGCATCATTGAAAAGGCAGAACACCCTATATTAGCTAGGAGACCAAAGACCAGAAAAATCAGTTGATTTTCTCAAGGTCAAACAAAATCCAGATCTCCTGACTTGCTCTCACTCCATTGCTCTATCTAAAATAGAAATTTTCCCAAAGGTTATATAGTATTAATTTACTGGTTCTGAATATTTATTCAATTCAGTCTGTCATACAGCGGGAAGAGCAGATTTAGTCATGATATTTTGGTTGGCATTATTTTCAGTAGGTAGCCATCTGCTACCTGTAATTGCAAAGTCATCACTTTTTTTTTTTTTTTTTTTTTTTTTTTGCAAATAACATCTGATGCCAAGCTGTTGCTGGAATGAATGTTCCCTAAAAAGAAATGAACTGGAAAACTAGTGGCTCTTATTGTTTCATTTCCTGTATGTGTTAATAAGCATGTTTATAAATGTTACGGGTGATGGCACAGGACAAGCTGAGGTTGTTTTTGATAGACAGGGAGAGTATTTACCCAGTTGTCAGGAGAAAGTCTAATGGCTTTTGGCAGAAGTGTAGTGAGAGAGCTTTGTGAAATACCAGAGCGGTTAAATTACCAGGCCCTTTAGCTTAATGAAGCTGGAATAGAACACAAGAACATCCCAATTTCCAAACCGTGAAGGAATATACAATGTGACAATCACCATACTTCATTTTTAATAGTTTGGAAAACAAGTTGACCCTTTAAACCAGAAAACACTTTCTCTCACTTCAAATGAGGAAAACACACTAGAATTTATTGATTTCCTCCCTTTTGCTTCCTGGTTCTGATTTCTAGCAGAAGCTTTGTGGAATAGTGGAGAGTGTGCTGGGCTTGGTTGCAGAACAGTTGGATTTGGATCTCAGCACTCTCTTTTTTATAACTTTGAGCACGTCCCCTAAATTTGCCCCTTGTGAATACCTATTTCACATCAGGGCTATGAGAATTCAGTGACATTAAGAATGTGAAAGCTCCTTGTAAAACACCTATCACATGAATGTGTGAATTATCAGTATTATTATTTTGGCTAAAACAGAAACGCTTAGTTCAACAACAAACTTTTGTAAGTTCATGGACAACTGCTCAGTAACTTGGTGAAATACCTGTGTAAAAAATGTTTTTCTGCCATCCACTAGTATTATAGAAAGGAAATTTAATTTAAAAACATAAAAATAATATGGAAGTGGAGACATGAGCCAATAAAAGTTAAGAAGTAATGAGTACAGGCTGAAACAGCACACTTAACTCAACCCATGTGTCTAGATGCAACTGCGTATAGAGTGTGTCAAACAAGTGTCTGACTTCATAATGCCATATGGTTTCACTGTGTGAGCAGGGGTGGTGGCGAGCTAAGGTCATAGTGGTATACTTAGTTCTTAATTTCCTTCCATTTATTGGGTTGTGCCATTAGTTTAAATTAGAATTTACATTTAATTATTTACTAGGACTACTGTAATTGGCTTTGCCTCCAATTTTTTTTTAAATACTGCCACACCTGTTGTTCAGTTAGAAACCTAAGTTAGAAGGCTCTGAGTACAATATAGTGGCTGTTGTATTAGATAAAGCCTCGATGGATTCATTAGGTATCATAGCACAGGGTGCTAAATGCCGCTTGTATGGAGGGCCATTGGCTCGCACAGTGAAAACAAAGCAAATGTACAACAAACTGGGTTCTGGCAGGTAAAAAGTAACTTAGTTAAAACCAAATCAATGTGGTTTTGTTTTACAATGAAAAACATGGAATCTAATTGTTTTTGAGTAAATAAAAACAGCATACCTCAATTTTGGAGTAAGGACAGCTAAGTATTGCATGAGAGAGAAGAAGGAAGGGATGGGTAAAGAGTGACACAAAGTGAGAGAGCGGACATTCGGATAAATGAGCTAAGTGAGTAGAGTGGTCCAGGCCACGTGATGCTCTGGGAAGAGTGTATGGGGGCCAGGGAGAGGTGGGTTAGGGCCTAAATGATTATTCGAAGGCCGAGAAGCAATTGTTACCCTTCTTATTCTGTGGCACAGTGGATTTCAGCCTCTTTTATCACTACTAATTAATGTAAATTAACTGGTTTATCTTAGCTTGTAACTCCTCACGGCATTAATCTTTAAATCTTGAAAGTCTTGGTCTCAAATGAGACAGCTACTGCAGCACACAAGTTTGGGGCAAAGTGGATAATGAGGGATTCTTTCAGAGCTTTCTCGTACTGGTCTGGATGAAGTCAAACTGGTGGGAATCCACTCCTTCCATGGAATAGTGAAGGCAGGAGTGGTGTGCCAGGAACCAAACTAATAAATTCAGTCAGTTTTACATTTTACCAAAATTACCTCTGACACATGGCTTTTAGAGTTGGGCTTATTCTGTCAATAAATTTTTCATGGAAAGTTAGGTTATTTACATCAGGGGGTCACATAGCCTACTCCAGCTGTAATATGCCAGCTAAATTGCAACCCAGTGGCCTGAAAGAATTAATTCATCTCCCAAAATGTGAAATTAAATCCTAGGGAGTAACATTACATGACTGATGATGTACTGAATTAAATTAAAGGAAGACTTGAATGCTTGTTAAAAAAATATCGCTTACATAAACTAGTTTATAACCACATGTGAGTCTCCTAATGGATCATGTTATTGTGAGTCCACCATAACAAAAATCCAAAATGTGAACTATTAGTCGTTTAATTTAGAAAAGAAACACTGCCGTGTTCTATTTCTTTACTTTCTTATTTTTGCATGTCAAATAGTTCAATTTTTAATATTATGTCAGGAGATTAAGGTAGGATTACTATCTTAAAAATACTAATTTGAGTCTCAGATCCTTTATCAAATAGCAGCTTTGGCCCCTTTGCTTTTCCACACCAAATGAGATTAATTTACTAACCTACTAGAAGTAAGAAATGAAGCGTGACACCTCAGCACACATGGGGCCTGTGACCCTGAGCCTTCCCCGCAATGGGCAGCGTGACTATTTGCTGTTCTCTCTCTTACATCCACATACTGTATTCATTTAACGTTTTGGAAGTAGAGCTCTAAGTATCATCGCACGTGCCTCTCCTGCCATCTTGAGATGACATGAGCTTATTAAGCAAACTGAGGCCCGAAGGCAGAAGCTCCGCTTTGTGGCTATTCCAAATGGGAAGATGGTTTTTCTCCTTCAGTTTTATTAGCAACTGCCCTTTTCCCATGGCTGACCCTTATTCGCACATAAAATGTGCTCATATTTTACTTAGATTTGAGATGTAATGCAAAGGGACTATGTAGAAGCCCACGGGGCCCCTATAGGAAGGAGAATGATGAGGAAAAACAAGAGGACAAGGGAAAGGGAGATGGCAGTTTCTCCACACCCAGCAAATTCCTCCTGGAGAAGGTATCTTTCTCTCTCACTCTGAGACACAACTAGAACCCTGACAGCCACACGGAGAAGGGAAATCCCTCACCTGAGGGATAGCTAGAGGATATACAAGGTTGATATATTTTAGTTTTCAGTTTAGATATTACTAATATGTAACAGATTTACATACACACACATACATACATATATATATATATATATATAAAATTGAATTCCTTATTTTTATTGCGTTTTCTTTCTTCTTCCTCCCCCCCCTAATTTCCTCCCCTCCCAACTCTAAGCCACACCCACAGAGTACCAGGGTTCTCCAGGCACCCTCTCTGAATCCAGCCTCTCCCTGGTTGGAATTTCAGACATCTCCTCCCCGACTCCTGCCTTCATCACGTCACTGCCTTGCTCAGAAGCAGTGGGTGGTGGGCGTACCACTCTAATGTTACCAGAGTAAGTCCACCAGCCAGTGCTCCAGGCCCCTGTATGGGGCACTGGCTTCCCCCTGTGTTAGCTTCACACACTGCTCCTCATACAAGCCCCACTTACACAAACACACACGGTCCATCCAGGCCCCTTGTAGACTCTCTCTCCTCCTATCCAAGGCCTGTTCGTTCTCCTGATGCAGTTTATATCCTATGTTCTCCCCATATCCTTGTATGAAGAATCTAGGGTTATTGATGTGTCCAGGTTTTAAATTTCTACTTTACTCTAAGCCTGTACTGACCAACTGTCCTGGTCCTACAACCTTGTCTCCCACTCCTCCATCGTGAACACACAGAAAACACTCAGCACATACTGGATTCAGTGACACTAACAAAGAGAACCAAACCTCCTTCTAAACTGAGCTATAAGATCTGTACTTAAATGCTTTTTTCTAAAATGCAAATTATTGGAACAGAAAAGACTGCAAAAACAAAATTACAGTGACTAACTAATCCTCTCCTGTTAACACACATCAAGTCGCTGCCTTGGCACTAACTCTCTTTCCTGTAGCAGCCCCCCTCCAAACCAGGGCTCTTTGTGTCCTCAACAGCCCTAAGCGGCACGAGCCTTTTCTATGTTTACCGCAAACGTTAGAAATGGAGTTGCAGATTAACGTACCCTGGGTAGGCATTTATGTATATTTGTCTTGAAGGGATTTTTTTCTTTGAGTGAGTTGAGTTTTTTGGTCTTTCTTTTAATGAAGGGTTTAAATAACAAAGAGTTGCCTGAATGTAAAGCATAATTTCTTTCATAAATAGAAATCCATACTTATTTCTGAGTAGTTGCGAGCAGAGACATAATTAGCATATTATTATTTGGTAGTTTTGTTTCAACCTAAATTTTGCATTTAGGATTCTAGGACTCTTCATCCGTGGCATTGAAGAAAACAGCAGGTCTAAGCGGGAAGGGCTATTTCATGAAAACGAATGTATTGTAAAAATCAACAATGTGGACCTCGTAGACAAAACCTTTGTTCAGTAAGTATTTTTTTTCCATTGTTTTACTTACTTTATTGTTCCCTAGAATGTTTATCGTCATCACTGAGCTCATTATGATCAAAATTCTAGGCACAATTTTGCTGTCAGTTCCCTTTGAATGACCCCAGAGCACCATTTTGAAATGCACCTTATGTTTTGCATGCTCAGAGGCGGCCTGCGGACGTCCCTGACGGCCCCAGGATGGCGAGCTGCAGACCAGAGCAAGCCTTGCTGCCTGGTTGCCTTTCTCAGGCATCGATAGATGGGTTTGTTTTCCCTGGGATATGGGTCAGTTAGATTGGTATTTAATGACTCTTTTCACAGACTGTTAGTTCAGCTTATTAATTAACTTACTTGGTGTCAGCAGTCTTCAACTAAATATCTGTGAGAGAAGTCTGGGAGGACTCACTGAATAATAGAAACAAAGAGAAAAAATTAAAATATCCTGCCTCAAGAAATCATTTCTGTGTGTGTGAAAATGTTATGGGAATAGGTTTGTGGACCTAGGAATTAGAGTATGCAGCAGTCTGCATATATTTTTAAAATGTATGTTGGCACTGCAGTGGGATTCTAGAGCAAGAAAATAAACGTGAGTCCATCTTAGTAATAATCACCAGTCTCTTGTTTCTGGCCAAAATAACTCATAATGTGTCTTCTCCGTGGCCGTTAGTTGTCAATACAGTGTGTGGGGGAGGGGTCAGCAGTTGAGGTTGGGGGGGAGGGGGCACTGGCTGCTGAAGGGTAGAAGAAAATGAAGCCTTAATAGTCTAGTTCAGAAAATAATGAGTAATAGATAAAATTATAGTCATTATTAATAATGGTATTATTTTTATGCACCACTGTGCATTTTACAAGGACTTGATAGATGTATGAGTTGGACATTAGATCCCTGTTTTAGAGAAGTGGAAATTGGGGCTCATAAAAATTCAGTATGGAGTTAGGAGAGAGCAGAAACTGACTCCTGGTCAAGGAACTGACCAGGGGGGTTGGGCTGTCATATGAAGCCTTCTCCCTCCTCCACTAACCACTTAAGCACGTCAATAAGCTGAAGGGATCTCTGATGAGAGTTGGAATTATGGTTGTTATTTGGTGTGGCTGCTAGTAACAGAGACCTGATATAAAAGTAGCTCAAACAAGATTAAAATGTCTCTTTTCTAAGGACAAAGGGTATGGAGGTGGCAGTCCAATGCTGGTGCAGCAGCTCCACCATCAGCAACGTGCCAGGCATCTTCCGTCTTTCTGCTTTTGCATTCCTACTGTGTGGCTGCCACCGTTCCATTGTGTCATGGTAACAGGATGGCTGCTGGAGGTCCCACCATCACTTCTGAATTTCAAGAAATAAGAAAGGGAAACTGAAGAACAAAAAAGTTTCTGCCTCCCAGATAATCCAGCTTTTCTCTACCCGTTTACTTACATCTCATTGGCGAGAAAGGCTGGGAAAGGGAGTTATATTACCTGTCATAAGGCATAAGGAAGAAGGAGAGAAAAAATAGTAGGAAATTTGAGGAAAAACACAAAGTGCTAAGACAAAAAAATTTTTGAATGCAGGTCGTCTGTAATGCAGTAACCAGAATAACTGGGAGGGTGCACATGGGATTAACAACCAACTGTCACATTCCGCAGGGCTGACACACCTACCGAAAGTCACTGCAAGGACATGTTTGTGTCAAAACGGAACTTTGAAAGCACAGTTCATGTTAGACAAGACCTGTACTTTAGAATTAAGTCCTAAAAGGAAATTAATTGATAATATGATCAATATTCAAGATGATTTTTTCCATCTAACATTAAAGCTTACTTTTACATTTACTTCAGTCACCACTTCTGGATAGACTTAGAAATACTTAACAGCTGTGGTTTGTTGGACAAGTGACTTAATTTCTCTGAACCTCCATTTTTTTTATTTTGCAGAATGAGACCTAATTTTACTAATCTAACAGGGCTGTTAAGAAGATTGTGAAACTAATGTACATATAGCCTAGGTCAGGGCACCTCGCGGGCAGGACCGGAGCGGTAACTATTTCTCAGTTAGCAAAGCCCGGCTGGCAGTGGTAGTGGGGGTCTCTCCGGTGTGAGGGCCGCTCTGCTGCTCCCGCTGCTGCGATGCTGGGCGCTGCAGGAGGACGCACGCCAGCATGCGGTGTCCTTCCACGTTTGCTCACTCTCGTTCAAGGGCTCAAGACGTCTTCCGTCAGGCGATGAAAGCGTCCTGTGTGCTGCTCCACGTGCTTCCCCCTCAAAACCGAGAACAGTACGAAAAGTCAGTCATTGGGCCTCTGAACATTTTTGGTAACAATGATGGTGTTCTGAGAACAAAGCCACTACCTTCAGTCCATGGAAAATCAGGAATCAAGACAGTAAACCTCACAGGAACAAGCAGTCCTGAAGAAGATACATCCACTTCCCTGCAACAAAGCAAGAGCCCCCGAGTACCAAGAATAGGTAGAAAGCCATCCTCTCCCTCACTCTCCCCTCTCATGGGGTTTGGCAGCAAGAAAAATGCAAAGAAAATTAAGATTGACCTTAAGAAAGGTAATTATTAAATTATGCTTAATAGCATTCTATTATTGTAACATGTGAAATTGGTTAAGAGAAATGCATTAAGGCTAATTTTGTTAATTCTCCCTTCATTTAATTGTATCAAAGAATAGATTTAAGTGTATACTTAGGAAACAAGTTTCTTGAAATTGTAGTACTTTCTTATTAATCTTTTTTTCTGAAGGGTGTAGCTTATTTGAAACAAGGGAACAATGAAGATGTGTTGGGGAATGGAAAGAATCATTGCAAACTTGATAGAAACAGAGCAGTCCTGTATCACAACTTAATACTAAATAGGCACTAAAATTCAGGTGTTCATGTTTTGAGCAAGATTAGTGATTTTTGAAACATCCTTAGGCCAGGTTTAAAAAGCATACTGTTTCTGGTTGCCAAAGATAGTTTTGGACCAGCAAAAAAATTTACTCGTTAGAAAGCAAACGTGTGATAATTAGTAATTTCACTAATTCAACACTGCAAACAATTTTTTAAAAACATAATTAATTTCAAAGGCATGTATAACATTTTCTTCATCTTTTTCAATCTTTCTATCCATTTAAATGCAGATCAGTGAGACTAGATCATGTGTGTACATGCATATTTATGCAGTATTATCATGCACATGCAAGCAGTCACGCACTTCTCTGTCTTTATTTTATAATTTCCTTTCCCCCACTGCAACATTCTTGCAATCCTATGTGATTTTTCAAGACTGAATTCAAATGACACTAAGATCTTGTAGACTCTTGTCTAAATTAATAGATAATTTAATGATCATAAGGTAGTTTTAGAATACTTTTTAACATATATTAAAATCAAATAACATGTGCCTTCAATAGAGATCATTCTGAAATTTTCTCTGGTAAAAATTTCATTCTCCTATAAGAATTCTACCCTGGGAAGAAAATGTATTGGCTAGGAGGCATAAATATTCCAGTGAGCTTAGCAGTTAGACTTTTTATATAAATGCATAATTTGTGTTTTTCATAAAAATTATCCAACTCTATGTAGATATAGGGTTGAGTGCTTTGAGGATAGGTGACTCAAAAGCAGAATGTGACCTTAAAAATCCATCAAAAAGCCTTGAATGCAAAAATAAAAAAAATGATATCATAGCTACACTTTGGGAAGATTAATCTGACATCAAAAATGTCACAGCAAGAAGAGATCAACCAACAAAAGATCAGTAAAGGCTGCATTGCGTGTGCATACACACACACGCATACACACACGCATACACGCATATGGCTTAGGAGCTGTCTGGATGTGGGAGGGAAAAGAGAGAGGAATTACCGTCATTGCTGAGGGCTTCAGCCAGGGTAGCTTGCATGATGGAGATGCCATTGCTAGAAATCAGAATTTTATGTAGATGAGTATATTTGAAAGGTCAGGATCTGGATCAGAAAAGGGGTTCATAGTGAAGTTTGAAATGCTGGTGAAAGTACATGCACAGTGATGACTAGGAAGCTGACAGTGGAGAGATTAGGGCCAAACAACAACACTTAGGTGTCATTTATAGGGACGTGGTAGTTTGAGCCAGGAGCTGGGCAGAGCGGAGAGGCTGGAGGAAAAATTGTTCCAGGCCAGATTTGGGGGCAACATCTATGTTACTTTGGGAGAACCTTGGGTAAGACAGATGTGACATGATTAGAGAGAGAGGAAAATAATTAGAAAATAAATACATGGAGACCCAGAGGGGAGTTCATTTCAAGAAAATGACTGGTGAAAAGAGTCAAAATTAGAGAAGGGGAGAAAAAATCAAGAACGGGAAGAATTACTGTCTATTCTTCCTATTCTCACAGGTAGGTCACTGATGATGGAAGGTTGAAGATGCAGTAAGACTGAAGTAAGGATTCTTTAGGCTAGAGAAATCTGAGCATACCTTTAGATAGAGTGAAAAAAAACGTATCCTGACAGAGATAGGTTGGAGATGCAAGAGAACAGGACAGGAGCAACCAGAGTGAGTGAGGGGACAGTGGGATGCAGCGTGCGAGGAAGAAGCACAAGCAGAGAGGGGCCACGGGTTTGCTAGCTGATCGAGAGCCTGACAAAACTCATGCCAGACAGACTCTTGCTTCTTATGGTTTTCTGAGAAATCAGTCTCCCAGCTGCATGGATAACATGGCATTTCTTCTAGGACCTTAATAAACAAAAATGTTACACGTCTGCATTTGGCCCTGAATTCACTGTGATAGCGTCATTGCCTGTCAGGAACTACAATCTGTATTTGAAAGCAGAATATCTGAAGCATATTTAAAATATGTATTGGAATGTAAATATTTCACCTATTCTAAATTAGTCTAAATTAGGCAGCATTTGCTGCAGGATTGAATATAATATTATTCTTGCTTAAGGTGACCATGCATTATCCTGGTCTTACACACTAGGCCCTGAAGGACTTGGTTTCACTGTGGTTACCAGAGACTCTTCCATACATGGTCCTGGTCCCATTTTTGTGAAAAACATTTTACCCAAGGGAGCAGCAATAAAAGATGGCCGCCTGCAATCAGGGGACAGAATTTTGGAGGTAAGAATTGGAATTAATATCTTCAATAAAATATTTCTTGGTGTTAGTGTTTAAATAAATAAGTGTATAAACATGTATATTAACATTTATATTTTGAATATAATATACTGAAAATTATTACTCAAAGACAAGGGAAGGGCTTTAATTATAAAAGAAGTTAATAAGCAGCCTAACTTTGTAAGCCCCCAATAAAGTCTATGATAGGGGGACAAGTAACACCGAAAATTTTCCCCCTCTTCTTTTTCTTACTTTCACCTCTTAGGATTCCGGGGGAATTCGGATCAAATCTAAAGGTTCCTTTGATTAGGCGTAAGAATTTTAAAGTTACACCCAAGCCCTGGTAACAATTTATTTAAACTTCCCTCAAGAATGGGGCACCCTGTCTCAGGTTGATCTATGCCTGTGGAGAAGTATTTGGAATTACCCAATGCAAGAGGCCTTTTTTTTCTCTCTCTCTCATTTACTTTGTGTGATAGCACAGTCTCCTTGGCAAAACATATATTGCCAACCCACCTTTCAAGAAATCATCTTCATTGAAATCACCTGGTTCCGCTCAACTTTCTCATGGCTGGGAAGCAACACTAGCCTTGTAGGCAGTTCCAGGTCATGGAAGAAGACGTACTGAATGACTTGATATAGCAGCAAATGAGAATTCCCAATAATATGTGATAACCTGATGAGTATAATTTTCCAAACATGGAGAACGCTGTAGAATAATAACAGAAGACCACTATCTCCGGACGCATTTGCCGTGTGATGGCCGTCCATTGCTGCTTCTTGCATTAGGCAGAAAATGGTGCTGGTTAAGCATCTGAAGTACAGTTCCTTCTTACTCAAGGAATCATTCTCCGGTGTCTTTCACTTTGATGTTCTCTTCATAAGAGTGTGATGTCTTAGGAGAAACTGCTCATACTATTCACTGACTGCCTAAGACAGTCCATAATTAATGGCGGTTGGTAAATTATTGTTATTTTAAACATGATTGGTTTGGGCCCATGTGTTCACTATTCATTATTTCAGATCTTCATTGATCATGGGGAGCCCATTTACTGCTGACTTTCAAAAACCAATTAGGGTAGAAGATGGCTAGTTTTGTAATCGTGGTTGTTCCTGTGACGGTGCCCATAGGTAAATGGCAGAGATGTCACCGGACGGACTCAGGAAGAGCTTGTGGCCATGCTGAGGAGCACCAAGCAGGGAGAGACAGCATCGCTGGTCATCGCCCGCCAAGAAGGAACTTTTCTGCCCCGAGAGCTGGTAATGTTCAGATAGTGCTTAATACACACAGTAAATTCCTAATAGCTGAAAGGTGAGTTCTCAGTCACAGGCTTCATCGTGTAACAATTCAATCACACCAAGAGTATTTTGCCCCACTTGGGGTATCATAGTTGTAGGTTGTTAATGCAGCAAGCTGGACATATGCAAACAATGCTTCTGGTGTACAAATTCTAAGACTTTTAAGGAAACAATTTAACAATATTTAATTAAGTAAAATATACATGGAGTATGTGCTATGTTGTAGGCCCTATACAAAACACAGTTAGCAAACATGCCCGTGGCCCTACCTCTCTACAGTTTGCAGTCTAAAGGGAAATAAAAATATAATCAAGTGTTCAAAATGGTGATGAGGATGATGGAAGGGGACTGTTCAGTGCTACAGTAACGTATAACAAGGGAATTTAACAACTTGGTCATAAGGGCTGGGACAGGTATGTCGAGGAGGGGGTTTTAAAAAGTCTTGTTAAAAACGTATACCCTTCAACCTAGTAACTACACTTCTAGTAATCTGTCCTAAACTGATCAGCAAAGATTTATTGTAGTGTTATATTGGGTGCTATATACCCTTAAGGTATTGGTTGGCTAAATAACTGGCTAGCTCTTTAATGAAATGTAAGTACTTTAAAAGGTCTGTGAGGACTGATAATAACATGAGAAAATGTTCATAGTATATTGTTAAGTAAAAGAGTAGGGTATAAAAAGATGTATGAAATATGATCAAATTACTTTAAACATCTTTTGTTAAAAAGCATTGAAAGGAGATGTATCTGAATAGTTAGGATTATGAGGGAATTTCATTTTCTCTTTCTTTTTACAATGAATACATGTTATTTATTTTATTATTGAAATATTTAAGAAGGCTATAGAATCTTCAAAGAACTTTTATGACTAATAACAAAGAAGAATAAATGTGCTAAGAGGATTTTTTATTACCCCTTGGTTTTTATTTTATTTCTATTGAATGTATAAAAGAAATGACAAAGGCACATATGGGTAATATGATAGGTTCCCAGAGTTAGATCATCAGGACAGAGAGGCTCAGTTGAGAGAACTGAGGATTGTTAGCCTGAGGAAGAACAAGTTTAGGACACACAGTAATTGTTATTAGATATGCAAAGAGTTATTTTATGGATTAGAAAGTAGATTTAATCTGCTTCTTCAGATATTTTATATCCATTAATTTACATGTGTATTAATCTAACAATTTATTGACTCTCTGCAGTACGCTAAATCGGAGGTTCTGGAGATACAAAAATAAGACTCTTTTTCTGCCCTATGGAATTTGTACCAAAATCAGTAGTCGGAAGTGATAATGTTCCAAAAACCGTCTAACTATTGGAACTGTACAAGAAAGAAATGGGCTATTTAGAATATTGAAACAGAGCCTGCCTCATCATCTATCTAAGATGCTCTAAGAATAAATTCTCACATTGATAAGGTTATAAGGCTGCATACACTTTAAAACACCTACTCTGAGCCTGATATTCTGTTACACGTGTCTACACTCATGTTTGAATATAGAGCCCTGCTGAATCACTGCTCTCATACACTGATGCTCATTATCACTGTCCAGGGGGCCCCTTTCCTCCAGGTTTTTGTGGCTTGGAGTTTCCTTTCAATTACTTCTTCTCTTTCCCATCACCCCTTTGCTCTGTTGTATGCTTTGAGATGATTTGCAGTAAAATAGGGAAAGGAAGAAGGACGGGTGGTATAAACCATAAGACTGCACTCCCCACCTCCTTTCCTCTGCTGGGCTCCTCTGTACCCACCCACTTCGGAAGGCAGAATCTTGAATTTCTGTCTCATCTCCTCACCAAAGCTCCTTACTTTTTCTAAAGAGAAATGCTGCCGAAACTGGAGTCTGGATTTTTTTACCCTGTAATTCAAATAGACTCTTCCTTCAATCCTTTATTTATCCAAACACCTTAGTCTTTCACGACAAAAGTCAAAGTGAAAAGAGACAGTAAAAAAGGGAGCAGCATGTATATATGGCAGGAAGCCCTTTCACGTCCTTCCCGTTTCTTTGGTTACTGGAGATAGAAACCCTTAAAAACCTCAGTGGGATTACATAGTACTTGTTTCAGGGATAGGAGAATAAGGAAAGAAGTTTTAACTGTGTATTCTGTTGAACTATGATCCCAGAAGGAGTAAAACCCTATATAGAAAAAAATATTCCAATGCGCCCCCATGCATGCAAAGGAAACTAACGAGAGAGCTCCCCTGGAAACTCAAACGCTCACGTGCCCCTGGTTCCCCATCTAACAGCTCTGTATACCCCTCTCCATACATCCTCTGGAATTCCCAACTCCACTGCCAAGTCCTTCTTCCTGGAAGCTCTGCCCATCCCCCAGGTAAGGGGGAAAAGATGTTGATGATATCCCGATTTGAAACTCTGAATACATACATTTTCAATTGAAGGCAATTACATGTGGAATTTAGCAAATGAGATAATACGATTTTCAGATGAAAGGGAGCTGGAAGAATCTGTGAGTCCAACTCTAATTTTGAAGTAGAGAAAACAGAGGTTCATGTAGTGGAGTAACCTGTCCAGGGTCCCACAAGGAGCAGGAACTAGAGGTCTAAGTTTCTTAGCTCTTAGTATCGTTTCTGGAGTTCAACTCCCTGCACACAACTTCTGTGTTCACCACTCACTGTGTGTTCTAGGGCAGGCCACGGCATCACCCTGAGGCTCCGTTTCCTCCTCTGTATCCTAAGGTTGTTGTGAGAATTAAAAGATATAATACATGCGAATCCCTTAGCTTAATTTTTGGCCAGTTGTAAGTTGTCCATATATGGTAGCTGTAATTATTTCTCTAGTACATTAGCACTTCTGTAGTACTGTGAACATAATACTATACTTCAGCTTTACTATGGGGTAAATAACTGTATGCAGTTCTGCCTGGGATTAACCGCTATTTCAAACATTGATTGTTTTCTCTTTTATTATCTTAAAATGTATTTTGGTATCCAAAATACTGGATTGGAAACAATTTTTATGACCAACGAAGTCCCTAATTCAGAACAGCCTGTGTATATTATTTCACTTTCATTTAATAGAATCTAGCAAAATTTGATTTTTATCCCAGAAAGTGACATCATAGGCTGAGCCCACCAAAGAACATATTAAATTAATTGTGCAATGATGAGATTGAGTGCAAATAAATTATTTGTTCTCATTGTTTTTAGTTTTATACAAAATTTGGAGGGCATATGGTTAGTAGCCATTTCCTTTGAATTCCCCGGCAAATCGTCTCAACTCTTTAAAAACTAGTTGACTTCTAACTATCCAAGTATGTGGAATATTCTTTGTATCCACGGCAAAGCCAGGGTACAAAGGCAAAGCCAGGGCCTTTGAGGCTTATGAGCCCCTAAGTAACTTGGACCGAGAATCTTTGTTTTGGAGAAATAGGGGAAAGCATTCTCTTTCCAGCCCAGTGTCTCTGCTTTGAGAGCTTAGTGGCACGAACCATGCAGCAAGTTTAAAAAGAGGTCGTGCTTGGCATGCACAGGAGTATTTCAGTGGGAATTACTTCATTACTTCATAGTGTGGCATGCACTGGACTATTTGAAAAGAGCAAAATGAAGAACAGTGAGCTATGTGATACATCTTTGTAGCTTTCTTAAAAAAAAAAAAATCGAAGATGGTATCATTTTGGTCTCTTCTCCCTTATAATGATTGATGCGCCCACTTGACTTTCCATTGAAAATCTGGCAGGATGAAGGAAGGACAGCACTTCCTGCTTTTGTCTTGTTCTATCTCCTTTGAAGAAAACAAACTGTGTTTATTGTTTTTCTGTTCTGAGAAACTGTCCTCTCCCTTTTGTTAAGCCTTGCTGTTTCATGAGCTCTATACCCTGCAACGGAGCAGCTCTGCCTGTTTTCTGACAGTTAAATCTTCCTTGCTTCCTTGTTATCACTAGCTTATTGTAAAGTCTTAACACTTACAGCCAAGGGAGCATGTGGTCAGCAGTTATACAGGAAGCCCCAGTGTAGGATGGCCTCTCAGATGTGACCCTCTGTCATTCCAAAGGCCTTAGCATCCATTTCCTGGTCATTTCTCCTACCTGCCACCCAAGAGAAGTGTGCTGAATTCTTATATTTGCTGGGCCACGTCCTCCTTCCTGAGCAGTTGGTTAGTATCACAAATTCAGCAGCACACTTAGCCAGCCTCCTTTCTATTTGCGGCAATCTGGGTTGAACATCAAATGAAAGGAATTTATGTATAATAACATTACAACTATTTAGCCCTTTCTAGTATCTTGACCAAAAGAACTGTGCTTCCAATGTAATCTTTCCAGAATCCCAGCCTGGAAGATCCTTTGATCTCCTCACCCCCCAACTGGGTGAGAGTTTATTAAAGAGGTGTTCACATAAGGAATGTTTTTGCAGAAGGAACTTTGAGATTAGTGTTGGTAATAATATTGGAAGGTGGAACTGCTGTGTTTGCGTGTGCACTTGGAATGAAAACTGCTACTTAATCGGTGGTTTGTTTGGTCTGTTCTGTAAGAGACTGGTCTACAAGTCTTTTTCCATCCCTGATACCTAAAAAAAAAATTTTTACGCAAAGGGTCGAATGAAGCTCTCTTTCTATTTAGGGAAGGTCCTGAAAAACTGAAGGTATTCTATTTATTTCATGCTTTATTTTTTAAGAGCTTCAGAGAGAGAGAAAGCAACACTGCATTACTTTTTGCGTGTGCATGTATGTGTATATCTCCTTTCATTTATTGAGGAGAAAGGAATATTCTGCCATTTCCTCATTAACCTCTTTAATGTTTCATATTCTGACCCACTGCCTTATCTTTAAATTATCCCGAAAATCACAGCAACCCCTGGTGGGTAAAATCAGCTGAGAAGATGTCAAATGTATTTATAATTTCTACCTGCCAAGTTTGCCTGCTATTAAATGACGGCCTCTGCAAGTGGAATTAATTATATTTCAGAGAAGCAAGTTGCTCCTACCTGGCATGATGGAGACCCAC